GATTTTTGAAGAACTACGACCAAAGCATTCAACGTGCTGAGAGCGACCTGCGAGGTAAGATTTACATATATTGATAAGGCGCGAAGAGAAACCATAATGATTATGTAGATTTTCAACGAGAATGCCATGGTCCAGTCTATCGAAGGCTTTAGAGAAATCTGTATAGATAACGTCAACCTGTGAGCTTGAGTTAATTGCATCAGAAATATATTTAGTAATTGTAATGAGGTTAGAAGTAGTGGATCTGCCTCGCATAAAGCCATGCTGACGAGTATCTATGAGATCTCTCATAGGGAAGTAAAGGGCAGTATGAAGAACGCGCCCAAAACATTTTGAGAAGTTGTTAATAATTGTGATCGGACGATAGTTTTCAATGAGACTTTTGTCGTTCTTTTTATGAACTGGTATGATCTTGGATTGTTTCCACAAGTAGGGAAATTCTTCGTATTTCAAAGAAAGATTAAATAATATCGTAAGGGGTTCAACAAAGACATCGGCACAATCAGATATAAGAAACGCAGGAATCTTATCAGGCCCCACAGTTGCCTTGGGCTTAATGCCTTTCAAAGCCCTTAGAACTTGCTCTTCTGTTATGCAGTCAATATTAATGGTATCTGTTAGTGTGGTTTTTGGATCTATCTGCTTTAAGGGCTGAATGGTCGGGGTTGTGTAAGATCTCTGAAAAAATTGCGCAAACGCTTCAGTAATTTTTTGTGGGTCTGACAAAAGTGAGCCCGTTTGATCTGTAAAGTTGTTTGGTAGATAATTATTTTTTTGTGAGCTCTGAATGAACTTCCAGAAATGGGTTGGATTTAAGCCAATATTTACTTCAAGATCTGAGCAGTAGTTATTGTAAGAAAGATCAATGTCTTTTTTCAACTGGGACCGCATTTCTCGAAAAGAATCCAAATCCCGCTGACTCCTGAAGCGTTTATACTTTTTCCAGGCACCATGTTTTTGTTTTATTAATTTTATTATTTGCGGAGAGAACCACGGTGGATAGTTTCTACGCCTTTTGGAGGTTTGAGGAACATGATCATCAAGACAGCGATATATTTTCAGGTAAAATAGTTCAAGAGCAGTATTAATATTTCCAACTGATTTAAGAATATCCCAATTGATGTCCAAAAAGCTAGCATATAAAGCCCTGAGATCAGCTCGTTTGAAATTGTAAAAGACATTTTCAACTTTGGAGTTATTAAATTTTTTGTCAGCAGACATTTCGAATTTTATGAGAGGAGATGGATGATAGATGTCTTCAATAAGCAAAAAATCATGGCACCTTTGTACTGTACAAGAATCAAACCTCGAAGTTATGACCAAGTCCAACAGTCCTCCTTGAAGATTTTTTATCATGTTTAACTGTTTCCAGTCAAAAAACTCTAAAAAATTAATGATCTGAGAGACATTGTTAGTGAGTACTGACCCTTCTAAATATGAACTATACTCCGGCAGGTTAAAATCTCCAAGAAATACTGTTTTCGAGTGATACAAGTACGTTAGTGAGCTTATATACTCAAAGATAAATTCATATATTATATCAAGTGCAAGGTTACGTGGAATACAAATAAGAATAACAAAAATACTGGATGAATCAGATACAATTTTTACCCCCACAATCTCCACCATACTGCGAAGCGATAGTGGAAGTACTAAATTTAAGTCTGAGACGGCAAAAGTTTGCTTAACGGCAAGCATAACCCCTCCACCTCTTTTCACACTTAGCTCATTATAACTTCTGTCGCAGCGGTATACTGAATAATCCTGCGAGAAAAGTTCAGAGTCAAATATGCTATCATTTAGCCATGTTTCGGATATAGCGATAACGTCGAAATTACACGTTAATACTGAATTGTAAAGAGTCTTAGCTTTCGTACGAAGTCCCCTGGCATTTTGGTAGTATATGCGAAGGTCAGGCATCGGCTTTCGAGTTCGATTGATCGACAGTGAATGAATTTGCATTGAACGCGGGTATAGATCGTTTGTGCATGCATCAGGTTTAAAGGTATTGTAGAAGGGGAAGTTGGTGTTTGGTTGCTACAGAGTGGACCCAAAAATTTCGGCTTTATACTTTTTGTTAGCTTGCTTAAAAGCATAGCAAGCAGATTTATTCCATACCGCATGATAAAAAATACACCAAAAAAATTCTTCTTCTTTTTCTTGAGAAATGTCATATTGATCTTGAGCGATTTTCCGCAGATTTTTCAAAAATTCTAATGGCGGTTTCACACTAAACCGACTAGTTGAGTTGCTGTTTTGTTGCTGTTTTAAAAACCAAAAACTCAACTGTTTTTCCCGATAAAACTGTTCACACTTAATAAATATTATAAAATAATGAACACCCATCTACTTTCTGAATTAAACTAAACAAAACTGCAACCGTTTCTCTGATGCCGGTTTTCCACTAAATGGACTGTTGAGTTTATGTTTTAAAATAAAAACAAAACTGAAATAAACAGAAAACCCTTGTTTCCATCAAGCGGACTACGTTTTCTTCTCGGTTTTCTTTTCTCGGGGAAACAAAACTCCAACTGTCTCAAAACACGCTAGTCTTGAAAATGTTTGGGAAAAGTTTGAGTTTGGGAAACTTTTCCCAAACATTTTCAAGACTAGCATGTTTTGAGACAGTTGGAGTTTTGTTTCCCCGAGAAAACCAAACGTAGTCCGCTTGCTGGAAACAAAGAGTTTTGTGTTTATTTCAGTTTTGTTTTTGTTTTAAAACATGTTTTAAAACACAAACTCAACAGTCCGCCAGTGGAAAACTGGCATAAAACGACAGAAAATAAAAACTCTACAGCAACTAATTTTTGTCTGTTTAGGTGTGAACAGTTTTATCGTTAAAAAACAGTTGAGTTTTTGTTTTTTAAAACAGCAACTCAACTAGTCGGTTCGGTGTAAAACCGCCAGTTTTCAAAATTATGAATTTATGCAGGATTCATGAACTCGTCGAATAGCTATTGATGAGTAGTTGTAGTTATACAAACTATTACATATCAATTAATAATTATTATTAATAAATTACTGCCTACCGGTTATAAAGTGTTTACTGCAAACTTTTTGGTTCTTCAGTATGGACGGCGTCAGATTGGTTCTCTTTATTGCATCAATCCACGAAGCCCTGCGAAGTACCGACAACTCGTTTTTTTCTGTTAAAAACCTGAAATTGGTCTCTGCAGGAACGGCATGAAACGAGAGTTTATCACGATTAGAACGGCTCCCGCAGCCAAGTACAATACAAATCGTAGGCATTTTTTGAACAAAATACTTTCTTTCAACGAACTAAAATCAGAAACCGCAACCAGGAAACTAAACGTAAAAACACATCACAGCTGTTTGACCATTATCGCCATTGCGGCCATTACGAATCTATTTTTTCCGACCGACGTCAGTGTCAAGGATAATACACACTACTAAGGATTGCTTATCGGACTTGTTTTTGGTAGTCGCCGCCATATTGGTGTCACCATTTTCGACATGATTGGACATGATTAACAAGTCGTCAGCTGTTTGCACTAGATCGTAGTTTAGAATTTAAATTTTGATGAAAAATATTATTTAATTTTGATTAACATAATAGGCAAAGAGGAAGATGGAAACGAGATCTAAAGAAGAGCTTTTTTAGGATATTAATTAATGTAATAATAGCTATTTATGTACCAAGGGGATTATAATCTCAAAATCCCCGTGGTGCATACATTGCTTTATTTTCTACTCAACACAATGTTTTTTCATCAATTTATTATTACCAAAATCAGTTAAACTTGTGTGACAGAATATTGTTTTGTATCTTGACATGTACCTGTACCTGTGACCTGTACCTGTACCTGCGACCTGTACATAGAAACGAAATAACTTAATATATCTATAAACATCTCATAAGGCAAGGCAACGGTGGTGGTCCTGTGGGTTAACGCGCTAGACTACATGGGAAACGTTGATGGTAGACCGGGTTCGAATCCTTGCTAGACCAAAAATTATTTTCGGTGAGACATTTAGTGGCTGTCGAGGGTAAAGTGCAAATTAAGAGAACAACAACAAAAATACCTAAGAGTATTATAAGCGGGCGTTATAGATCATAACGCCCGCAAAAGCGGGCGTTATGGATCAGGTTGTTATAGGTGTGTTAACGTATTTCGTTTCCTAGGTATTATGGATCTATAATAGTTAAGTAGAAAATAAAACCAAATATGCATAAAGCAAAAGCCCGCGGAATTATAACCTGTAGTGCAATCAGCCTACGTCAAGGCGAGAAAGGACATGCTGCCTACGTCACAACTGGTGATTTGGCTTGGTGGGGGGCTTCAGATTTGTTCCACACAGGCCTTATGAAAATAGGCTATCCTGTAGTAGTAGAAGTGTGTATTACCCTTGCGTCAGTGTCAGTTGGGCTATCCCTAGAACAGGTAGAATGAGAATGAGTTCAGAATAGAGCCGGAACCGATTCTAGTTGCATCGCGAACAAAAAAATACTTGAAAATTATTTTAGGCTGAGTTCGGCTTCGCACCCGACGGAGCGGAACGGTATGAGCATGGATATCACGCCATACGCGGTCATAAGCCCAACGCAAAAGAGAACATTCTGAGCGCCTAAACGAACAAGATCTTATCGTTTCGAGCGCGCTAAGAGTTTACAAAGTGTGAAGCAGAACTCAGCCTTAGTTTAGAACTTATTTGCACTTAAACGAGGGTTTACATTTGAACATTTTCACCCAAATGAACAGAATGAGCTGAACGCAAAGAACGAACACATCGAGCAATAGTTCCATTTGTTCGGCATGTTCGAAGTAATCGCTGTGTTCCCAGTTCAACCATCTTTGCATTATCGACTCTGCAGAGTGCAGTAAGTTGGTTGGTATTTTATTTAGATTTGCAGTATTGAGTATTGGGCACGACAGATTTAATAGTAGTTGCAGGCGCATTTTTTAGCCGCTTTCCAGCTGTGTGCTTCAAGCACGGTGCAGCACAGTACTCTGTGTTTGAAACGCAAAAGTTAGCAGCTCTCGAAACGCAGTACGGCTGGAACACGAAAACGCGCTCGAAGCGTTTGCGCGCGCAAAAGCTCGATTGCGTGCTCAAAAGCGTCAGCTGGAAAGCGGCTTTTATTATTTGCAAAGAATTTAAAAAAAAACAAGGAAAGTCTGGACTGCCCGAATCCCATTTACACTTATCATTCGGCGAACACCTATTTTTTTTGAGCATTTTGACTGACAAATCTGGAATCTCGGAAAACAGTCGTCCTGCTCTTGCTCGTTCCGTTTGGCTCGGAGAAACGTCTACTCTACTCTACCCTACGCGAGTTCGCCTTGTTTATTCGGTTCGGTTCATTCGGGTTAAAATGATCGAGTGTGCACCCACCTTAACATTCTCACCGTGGCGCGAAAAAGGTGGGTTAGGTTTTTGTTTTTCGTAGATATTTAAAAATTTTCCTCTTATTCATAAGCTCAATTAATTATGGCAAATCAAGAGCAAACCCTCAAAGCTTTCGCCGTGCAACTATTCCAAATCGATGCAATTAAATTCGGCGAGTTTAAAACCAAAGTGGGGCTCATGACACCCGTTTACTGCGACTTACGTGTAATCGTAAGCTATCCGGATGTTATGGTAAGCGTTTCGCCCCTTTTTAATTTACTTTTACATGAAACCCTTTTTAGAAAACCTTGGCCAACCTTTTGGAACAACAAATCAAAGACATTACAAATGTGGATATTATTTGTGGGGTCCCCTATACAGCCCTACCGATTGCCACTGCTGTGTCTTTGAATACAGGCCTGCCCATGGTGATGAGACGTAAAGAAGCTAAGGATTATGGTACCAGAAAACTAATTGAAGGTGTTTTCAAAGAAGGAGATAAATGTTTGATAGTTGAAGATGTAGTTACTTCGGGTAGCAGCATTTTGGAAACAGTCAAGGATCTACAAAATGAAGGCAAGAATTCTTAAATTATTATTGAAAGGGAAGTAAAGTCCAACAAATACCATTTTAAAGTCACATGGTTTTTCTTTATCCTTGTTGAATACATCTCAAACAGCAGTGATAGTAAAATCGACAAAAAAATTCTTACCTGAAATAGAATCCGTCACTGTCATCAATTAGTTTATCAAAATTATTTTCGAAAATGATACAACGAACAAACGCAGCTAATAATTTTGACTATATTAACCTTTTTCCAACTCGAAAAAAAGCAAATAGAAAACGGGTACCCAATTCAAGTTCAGAATGTATTACAAGGGGCAGCAGAAGCGACAAAAGTGAGTCTCGCAACAATGGACCTTTCTCATGCAATGAACAACAAGGATAGTTTATTAAGATTTCTGCAATAGAGAAAGAGACACATATAATGACATGCGATACCTGTGTGGAATGACTTTGATTGGTTCCACTTATCAAATTGTGCAATTTCGGTTATATTTCTGTTTTTTTTTTTTTGTAAATGTAAATATGACAAATATGTATTAACATTAATAGAAAGAAAACCCACCGTTGGACAAAAATGTTTGCAGCAAACCTTTAATTGTACAATTATTATTGTATTTGATATAGAAATCGTTAATTTACGAATCCTCAAATCTCTGTCCCAACTTAAGTTGTCTTCATTCGGGTTGACAGCACGTAACTATTGTTTTCTTACAATTTAATTGCTTGGGAACTTGTGAAATGAAAGGTTTGACTTCTTTTTCGCCTTCTTCTGACAAGATCTCATACAACACATTTGAACCATTGTATCATAAATAGTTTTTGTAATAATTTTCAGCAATTTGATTGATATTGATTGATTATTGAGGTTAGCTTAAATACTTCAGGGTCAGACCGCGTTCAGTAAATTGACGATTTAATTATCTGTCACCCACAAGCGGCGCGCGTAGCACAGGTAAAATGAGAAAGGACCATTGCAAGTATTAAAATTCCCGCTTTTTGTAGGTGATATCAACGACATAATCAATGAACATACGTTTTTTGCCACCAATTAGGCAATTGACCTTTTCAATTTAGAAGCCTCTCTCTCTGGCGTCAGACTGTCAGATGCCAAAAGAGTATGAAAAGTATGAAAACAATGATTGACAGCTATTGACAATGGTTTGTTGACAAGAGTTTTATACGTGTGAGACTGGAAACTATTATTTCCTCGGTTTTTTCAAGGTTTTTTCCTAACAATGGTGATTGTGTGTAGTGTGCCTTTTCGTGAAAATAATTCCTATTCACCAGCGGACGTGTCTTTCCATAAGTTTTCATTAAATCCTACATTTGTCAAAATTTGGATACACAAAATCAGAACTGATACTTGCAAAAGTAAGGGAAATCCACGACCCATCAAGTATACAAAGATATCCACATTCAAGTTTAGTTTGCGGAAGCTGTTTGCTTCCCACATTTTCTTTCCAATTTCAAATTTCACCATTCTATGTCGGTCATTGTCATTTTCCATTCACTGAACAAAGATACCTAACTCATCGGTGGAGTCACCGATTAGAATAAAAACTAGGGGATTGCTAAACACCCTATACACTTGACATTGACAAGCAAGCAAATGTTGGCGGAAAAATTATTGTTTTCATACTTTATTGTCCATCTCTTTTAATTGAAAACGTCAATTCAATCCATCTGTCAAAAAGGAAAATTCAATGTGGCGTGGCGGCCAAGCAAGTTTGTTTTGAATATGTTTTTATGCGTATTTTAAATTATATTGCATACAGTTTTGCTTATAACTTTGATTTTCATTATTTAATAAAATATTTGTTGACTAGGTACCTAAACTATTAATTCCGGCAGAAACTAGATATTTTTTTATGTTTTTTGGCCCATGTGTGGCCGCCACGCCATCTTGAATGTCAGGTGGTTTGAATTGCCTAATATCATGTGACTTTAAAATGGTATTTGTCGGCCTTTAGACACATTAAATCAAATCAAATCAAAATAGCTTTATTGATATAAGAAAAAAATCAATCTCATTACCAAAGCAACTTAAAACTAGCAAAAAAATTAAATACACGGTTTTAAATTAAAAATTCTTAAATTGAACAAAACATATTGAAATAAACAAGATATTAAGAAGTACAGTACAGACAAGTTAACTAATTACACATGTACCACCATAAAATAACATGTAATAAAATGACGAAAACAATAAATAAAATTTAAGACGAAAAATGTATCAAAATTCAAAAATAAACAAAGACTGAAAAACAATAATAAAACAGGTACAAGATAAGTCAACCAGTAGATGGTCTAAAATTGGTCCTCAAAATATTCAGTCACACTATAGTAGGCTTTCTTTAATAATAGCTCCTTTACAGCCAATTTAAATCTTTTTAGGGATTCTAGGGATCTTATGCTAATAGGCAAATGGTTATACATTTTTTTACCAGTGTAAAACAAAGAATTCCTCACAATTGCAGTATGAGGTATAGGTAAAGGTATAGTGCCTATTTGACGCATATTATAATGACATGCACTCGTCTCTCTTCCGAACTTCCTAAACATTAAACAGACAGTCTCCAAAATAAATATACCTGTCAGGGTCAGAATGTTATTTTGAATAAACAAGGGTTTACAAGATTCCCTAGCCCCAACCCTGCACATATACCTGACAGCCCTTTTCTGCAGAACAAAAACAGAATTTATCAGGAAGTGGCTCGAATTACCCCAGAAGCAGATTCCATATCTTAAATGGGACTCGATAAGTGCGAAGTAAACCGATTTTGTCATACCTAAATTTAGTTCCCTTGATACAACCCTTACCGCAAAGCACCCCGAGGCCAATTTGTTACACAGGTTCATTATGTGGTTCCTGAAAGACAACCTATTATCTATATTTATACTCAAAAATTTTGCATTCAAGTTGTTAGAGATTAGGCTACTGCCGAGGTTTATATCACCTATATGACAATTAAAGTTTAAAATATTAGTTTTCGAGACATTGAAAGTAAGGTGGTTTGCATCACACCAGTCCTTCACCCTATTGATATCATCTGTCACCACTTTGGCCAATTCCTCAGAACTCTTGCTGTGCCACAATATTGTGGTATCATCAGCGAACACTGTAAATTTACCTCTGATGTTAAGGGATATAACTCAGAAATAAAATGGGTCCCAAAACTGAACCCTGAGGCACTCCCGCTTCTATACCGCACTTGACCGAATTGGCACCATGTAGCCTAACATGCTGGTTCCTGTCCGAAAGATAAGACCCAAACCAACTCAACGAAGTACTCCTGAAACCATACCGTCCAAGCTTCTGCAACAGTATTCCATGATCCACACAGTCAAAGGCTTTTGATAGATCACAAAAGACTGCCGCAGCCGCCACTTTCTCGTTAAGCTGGAAGTACAGATCCTCAAGAAATGCAAAAACTGCATCACCAGTGCCCACACCACTCTGAAACCCAAACTGAGCCAAACTCATCAGTTTATTCTTATGCAGGAAAGACACAACTCTGTTTTTAACTAGCCTTTCGATAACCTTACCAATTGTGTGTAACAATGAGATGGGTCTGAAATTGGAGGGCTCAGAAGTATCCCCATCCTTATAAATTGGTATCACAACCGCTGGTGATCGTTGTTACACTATTTGTTTCATTTTCTAATTCTGTATAAGAAAAACTAAAAACTCTTTTTGTGCGTCATTTTATTGCGGTTGTACCACTGCGAGGTCCACGCATGCTCGCGCATAAGGACTATTATCGATCGATTCGATGGACGTCGACTACGAGAGAGGGGAGCCCTGTTGTTGGGAAGCAAGCGCTCTCTCGCTCTCGACTACTAGCCGAGCTTTATAAAAGGCAACATTATTCTCATTTTTGTAGTACAAATTTCTTGATTTTTAAGTTAAATTTTGTATATTCAGTTGAATAAAAGTTATTAAATATAAAATAAACATACAGTCCACTTATTGAAGACCAACCGCTTCCTTCAATGAACTTGGGAAAAAACCGAGAAAAAAAGAATGGTTTATGGCATCAACCAAAGTATCAAGTGCAGACCTTGGCAAACCCTGCAGGAGTTTGATAGAGATTCCATCATATCCAGCTGCATTCTTACTCTTAATATCCTTAAAGGTCTGCTCAATTTCCCTCAAGTCCGTAGGTGCTAGAAAAAAAGACTGAACAACACTAACATTTTGTAGAAAGTCCAATGGATTGCACCGAGGAACAATACCACTTGCAAGCTTCCGCGCAATGCAGCAGTAAAATTTATTCAACTCATTAGGCGTTACGTCAGTCCGGGTCTCAATCCTACTATGCTTTCCTCTTAGTTGATTAACAATTTTCCAACTCTCTCTTTGCCCATTCTGAGAATTGACTATGCGATTTTCAAAATAAGTTCTTTTGGCTAGTTTCAACGTTTTACGATAAAGTGACCTATATCTATTAAAATATGACACAAAAAACCCACAGTCTATAAAATATTTACGTATATAATGTAAAGCCCGAAGATTCCTGCCAGACCTTCTAATTCCCCCAGTAATCCATGGTTTCCGCCTCCTGTTTCTAATCCTCACAACCGGAAATGAACGTTCAAAGACATCAGTCAACAAGACATGGAACCTGCTCAAGGAATCCTCAGTACGAAAAGTACCCAACCAGTCCACAGTCAGGCAGCATTGGTAAAACTTATTAAAATTTCTCCCTGAAAAGATCTCACCTCGCTCCTCCGACCGCGAAGCTTTCCGGCCACAAACCGGTATGCTACAAAGCACAGCCTCGTGATCAGAGAGGCCCGCGCTCACCATATTACAGAAGACATCATCATCCAAACTGGTACAAACAGAATCCAAAACAGAAGCAGAACCATTTGTGATTCTAGTTGGCGAATTTACATGCATCTTAAGATTAAATGATATTAACAAATGCTCAATGCCAGAGTACATGAAGAATCTTCACTGTCATAGTCAATGTTCAAATCCCCCGTCAAGACAACACTAAATTGAG